AGCACAGTATGGTAGAGAGTAACTCGAAATTGGATGATATAGTGGTCTCATATCTTTACATAACACCCATGCGGTCGGTTCGTCAGACTTGGTCAGTTTTTGGGTCCCGAAGGCAGCAACGTCTGCAGTGTTCGCGAACATTCGCTAACATTGGAGTTTATTCGGAAGAAAACCTGAATTTGAGGTAAAGCCGGTCACGTTGCTTGCTTCAAGTCCTTTTTGGTTTTCCCTGATCTTCGGTCGGTCGGTTGAGTAATTAGTAGCTGCTTCACTTTCTGTTTTGAAAGCATTCACAGAATGTGCCCAAGCCATTACTACTGCGAGGTGTCAGTTTTGAGGATCAACGCATGTGCTTTAAGGCTTCCGAGTACAACGGAATTTGTGCAAAAGCATGAGCACGGCGTTCGTCTAAAAAAGTCAGTTTCAACTACTTGAACCTGATATCTCAGTTTTTAGTGATGGCACAAGAACTTCATCGTATTTGTGTTAAGATCGCTACAGCTACTCCTTTCAATCATGCCTCTGCTCTTTTTAGTGTCTGTTCTTTCCTTCGCGTTGAATCCGCCCATTAGAATGATGGATTCCGTATTGTGCACATCGTTCAAAGTAAATTCAGTTTCCTATAGAAAAGACATATTCCCCCACCGAATGAGGACGTAAACCTTTACCAAAGCTTTTCATTGTTGACACCTATGTTAGAGGATTGCCACTCTGCCATCTACAGGCTTGCTTTCAATGAATCTCTCATCGAGGTTGGGCTCTAGTTGAACATTAATAAAGCTTTTATCGGCAGATGCTCATAACTGCAAAGCCCTTACTTTTCTTGGAACTTTGAACGTACGCGTCGGAAATGAACTTTGTCCTGTTCGCATCATGACCTCATCATCTAGCTCATGCTTTTTCTCTGTGAGTGGGGAAATCTTCTATTTTTAGTCTCTGATTTCCCCCTTCAGTTTCCCTGCTATGGACCCTTAACTAACGTGCCTTAACGACGTTGGGCTGTCTGCGTCGTTCGGTTATAAGGGGCTGTATGAGAGTCCCCTTCTCATTTGTATTTAGTAATCAGAAATATTCGTCAGCCGTCCGTGTTTCTATGCCTCCAGCTGCCAGAAGGCATGAAGCGAATTTTGACCGCTGACTTTACACTGTCTTCCTCAGTTTTTCAACAGCCTGCGCTGCCCTTGCTAACCTGGACATTGACCAACCCGTATAGTTCGAGTGTCTCAATATTGTTGAAGGGCAAGTAGGTAAGTTTTACAGGAGGTTCGTGGTGGTTTCCAACCCTCCTTTACGAATCGGGCATGGGACGGGAAAAACGCAGTTTAACTTTTGATACTGTTTTCAAAAAATCGGTATTCCAGCCTGGTGGCGTCAAATCGGGGAACATCATCGTACTGTAGACTTCATGCAAAAAGGATATCAAGGTGATGTGCATTACGTCAGTGCAAGTGAGGTGACACTTAAACGGCACGCGAATCCTCTTATTCCTCTCATCCGTAAATGCTTGACTCCGGGTAGCTGTATCAGATAGAGTGTTTTAGGAATTTCAAAAACGGTAACAAAACGACGTATGACGTATCTGTTTCAGGTCAAAATTTTCCATTTCTGGTAATGTTTATTTAAATTGTCCAGCAAAGTGCCAGACGTTCTTCTTTGCTAATTGTAAGGATATTCATCAATATATGGTATGGTATGGTATATCAGGATGTTTTCTGAGCTTGCCAACATTCGTGCTTCTTTCCTGCGTATTTTATTTTCAGAATGCGTATGGGTGACAAGATGTTTAAAATATGTTGGTGCCGTAAGCTGTTTCGCATTTCCTCTTGAACGGTCATAGTGTTTTAGCAATCGCATTCGTGGTAGCTTTCCTGACATTCATATGAAAATTTCGGATAAAATGTTGCTGCATATCCTGCAGCTGTTGCTAAGCATACCTTCCGGTGAGGCCGATACAGCCGAGCGTGTTGTGGATGAAGTTAGCGTGATGGTATTTGTTAGCGTCGCTGACGGCTGTTTTTAGTTCGAAGTGGAAGCTAGAGCTGAAAGAAGACGGAGGTTTGACAAGCCGAGCGACATCGTCATCAAAGAAGAAGACGAGTCGGAGAACGTCCCTGGGGAAGCGAAAAAGAAAGTAGATGCACAACGCCAGGTTCAGCTGGACTTACAGTTTTTGCTGGGCAAGGTACACGTTTAGTTGCTGCTGTGATCACTGCGTTAATGGCCTTCTTCGCTCGTCCAGGTTTGCATGGAGATTCAGAGATACGTGAATGGCAGCGTTGTTCCCTACCTGACGTTCAGTATCAAAAAAATTGGCGCGGATTTTAAAATGAAAACGTTTGAAATGTACTTCAAGGCGTACATAGGCGTTATCGAACTGCAGTACACTGAACGTATGTCTCGTGTCGACACCACTACGCGATTACTTTTAAATTTGTGTTTAAGCACTCGGTAGACGCGGTGTCTTATATTTGATCCGCAAGGGATTAGACGAAGGGACTGAACGCAATCTGATCAGCATCGATTACACACAGGTGAGAGATTACGTTGTGACCTATGTTACATACACCTGACTAAGTTTGTTGATCTCTAGGCGGACAAGCACAGTCCGTTCTTCGAGTCTGAGTTCAACATGATCGAGCAGAAGGTGGCAATTAACGCTGACCCGTTGATTTTTGACGTGCACCAGGAAGCGCTAGTGGACATGCAGAAGTTTTTCTTGGCACTGTCTAACGAAATTAATTACATGAAAGACAGTGCGGAAAAAACGACCGTAGCGTTTTCGAAAACGACTGCACCGCCCAGGAGAACTTTCAGCGTTTCTTCACTAAGCACCAATTCGTTGAAAGGTAAACATTACCTGGAAAAGTACTGACGAACGTTAAAGATGTTGTATTGGACGATGTTGTTGTCCTGCTTTCACAAGAATCCTCTACCGTTCGGCATCTTGAATGGTACCTGATAAGATTTGAACAAGTATTTCTTGAACACCGTTCGTTAACCAGCTTTCAAAATCGTTTAAACACTGAATAACAGTGTGAGCGTATTGATTCTGAACCTATTGTTGATGCAGCGCATACTGTTGCTGCACTGTGAAGACACTCACAAAAAGACTGAGAGATAAGATTTTATATCATCCGTTTGTCATCACCTAAATCTGCAGCATAGACATAACGTTTTTCGCTCTGATTATGATAGAGCTGCATGTATTTTCAGCAAATCGCATTCAAAAAATGAAAAAATTTTTTCCATCTTGTGTTGGGTTGCTGAGCGTAATCTGTATGCGTCCTTTGTTTTTTAACGTGGTTCACCTGAATAAGTTTTGATCACATGTGTTTTCTTCTATTACCTACGAGACTGCATTTTATTTGATTTTAGCCAATTTAAAAACTAAATAAATATGATTTAGTTCCTGCTGTTTTTAGAATGATCACTAACGCAAGAACGAAATGTTCAGTCTTCGGTTTTCAACCATTTAAAAGATGGGTTCCAAATAGCAGTAAATCAGAACTCACTAACAATTACATTGGACGTCTAGTTGCAACGCGAAAAGCAAATGTGAACAAACTTCATACGGTTTCTGCATGCGATGTTCAATTTTATAAAAAAAGAAGACGCCAGCCTTTCGCACCAGAATGAACATGCAGTGGTATCAGATGCAGTAAACTTTAGTTTAATGAACTGTAGCAAATTGCCGCAGCGATCCGTACTTCTGAACTTTGTTGATGATATTGCCTTTCTGCGTGCCAGTCAAAGGTCCCTTGCACCGTAAACGAAACAGTGCGCATAGCTGCGTCTCAGGTTGGTGAGGTTATTTGCGTAACACGACTGCTATATTCTATGTATTAGATATCGTCAAACAGAACACGAAGTAAATTCATTAAGAGTTTAAATTATTCCTGTTTTGCGAAAACTTAATTTGCTGACCTTTGAACATCCCTGACTTTTATTTCATTTCCTTTTTTCTACAGTAAAGTTTTGATGCTTACGTATATTCGCTGTTCTGTTTTTCTAGACATGATTATGTCTAAACGAAGAAAAAGGCTTGACGATCGGTTGGTTAATATGCAAATGACCTGCAACTTTGACGGAATTGTTATCAAACTTGGAACAGTGGTAAAACAGCTTTGTGAAGTGCAGGTAAAAGGTAAGCACTGTTTTAACTGCGCGGTTGTATCAGAACAGACAGTTGTAATTGTTCGCGTTGTGATTTTCTTGTCTCATCAAGTTAGTTTCCAGTAGCGAAACATGTTTAATCGCTGTCAATGTTAGATGGAGTTCTATGAAGTTTGATTAGCTGAAGTTTTGGAAACATTCGTTGTTTTGACCCATATTGCATCAAACCACGTGCGGTTCATTCTTCTACTGATAGTATTTCTAATTACTGTGCCAGTTCATTGACATCAGTTTTATCTTAATAATTAACCTTAGAGTGACTACATGGATGAACTTCAGACAGCTTAGTTACCTCGCTGCTGATTCCATGCTTAATTTCTCCAGTTGGTTAGTGAATCAAAGGCTACTTCCAACCAACTTTGCCGTCGTTTACCAACGGAAGAAAATAAAATTTTTACCTTTCTTTGACGTTTAAGTTTTGCGCAAAAATGTTTCTAGGCAAACCGAAGTACGTTGAAACGTTTCCCACCTTTATTCAATTATTCGTATAGAGCCCACTAAAGCAGTGCTAACAATGATCAGCTTATATCCAATAGTGACTTACTCTGAAAATGGACGAAATAAGTTATTCCAGGCTCGCTATTCACCAGTGGATGGACAAGGTTAACTATTAGAGGGAAAGAAAATGAACGAATGTGCCAGCAAGGTACTTTGCCATCTTGTACTCTTTGGGGAGGGGTTGACGGAATGGGTTGTAGTGTTATTTTGCGCTTTTGATATTCTGGGTTCGAGTGCCATACGGGGCGTTAAATGTTCTTATTATAACAGCTAATTAAAAAGTTCTCGGTAATGCTTGGATGCAATCGACGGGGTAACGGGTACTAAAATATTCGCCTGTGAACAATATGGAAATTAGTACAGCATGGTGCTTAGATGTGGTCTTGCCTGGGCGTGCTAGACGTCCGGCCATCTTCTGTGATCCATGGCCTTTACGGCTGCAATTCATCTTGACCCATCTGATAGCTAACTAAAATCTGCACAAGTTGTAACCCTTTAAATAAACTAGGTATAGTTTAGTCTGAAGGACTGTTACTGTTGAAGAGTAATGCTTTCACCCGCAGAGTCCATGATTGAAGTGCAGTGCCACAGTGTTGACGAAGTTATAACTATGTTAAGTTGTTATATCTTTGTCGCATCGTTCGCAAGCGTCTATCCTTTTCCTCCAAGTACGGAGATGTTATATTTTCCGACTTTCAGGTTACACATCTCGCGTCATTCCTGTGGCACACCGCATGACTTTTCATATTGGCATAGCGCCTTCTATGATTTTAGCAGTGGTTGCTGCCTAGTTATTGACAAATACTAAATTCACCATGGAGAGTTGTTCGAATCGTTTGCCATGTACTGCACAGATTCAAAATGTAATCGGCGGCAAAATTTAGCTCCTGCTATTTCAAGATTCAACAACTTAGGTATTCATTTCTGAGTATTCTTCGTTTTTGCTGTCGATGTTCGTTTACTTAATTTGCTCTTCAGACTCATGCTCTGAAAAATTATACATAGATGACTTTGTCGCTGAAACTACTTATATTAGATATATATCATTTTATATTGTTCCGCAACAGCGTTTTGAACTGAAACATTTTTACATTAGGTTTTATTTAATTATACCTCACATAGATCATTCTGAGAAAGGCCTAGTCAGGTTTAGTAGAAGTGCATATATATCCACTGATACCTTGGTCGTTTAAAGTATGCATTGTCAAATATGTTGTATATATGTACTACCAGTATGTGGCTGTGTACAGTCGTGCTTCGGTCAGTGTGCAGATATGTGATTTTAGGAATTTTGCTGAACATGATTCAAAAAAAGAAGGCTATTAGCGCTTCGTTTTGTTTGAAGACATTGAGCATTATCGATGCTGACCAGCATTCATTGTTTACGCAGGTCAGTTTTCACGGCCCTGCTGTTTCCCTTTCGACGGTGCAGCGTGTTTTATTTTAAGATCTTGTCGGCGGTTAGCAAAGAAGTTTTTCGGGCTGAGGTTACGATGTACAATTATACGGAAGAGGAAAAAATTAACCGAAAGCTGAACGACGTAGATATGGACGTTGTCATTCGATTTTCTGAAATGAGATTCGTGTTCCTGAATTACTTTGTTAGCAGACTTTGCGTATGCAAAAATATGAGGAGCAGTTCGCTTTATTTCCAACTGAACTGCAAACTTTAAAATTTTCAGAACTGGATTGCACCTTTTCAAGCAGCAGCTGAGAAAACAGCATCGTACGCAGGTACCGCCCTACAAGAGAGCGCGAAGGAAGCGGCTGAAGTTCTACAGAAGCAGCAGACGCCGTCTCTGCTAAAATTAGACGTGATGATTCAGACGCCGGTTGTACTAATACCCCAGAACTCGAAGTCAACCGCAGCTTTGCTGGCAAATTTTGGTTAGTCTGTTGCACTGCCTATTGCACTCACCAGTTACTAGTAAGCAATTACAGGTACTGTCACCGTGGCAAATAGATTTGCTTTGAAGAACTGCAAATCCGGAAACTCGGAATATATCCTTGACCAACTGTCGCTCAATTTGACCGACCTCAAGTTCTCCAGGTAAAATGCTCCCCTGATTTCAGAAAGGCGACTTAACAGCTGAAAGCTAGTACTTTCGATCATGTCTTGGCAAAAACACATGAAGAAAGTTGCTCAAGCCTAATTTGGGATGAGTTGAATTCACTTCGATTAGTTTGTTTTAAATTTTTAAAATCATCCATCAAATCAGAATCTGCTACACTCCTTGCGACATTTGGTGACTTGATAGAATCTGGACGACTGCGAAAAACGGACTAGCCATGGCAGGCATTGGCTAGTCAGTATCTGCGGCACTGCCCGTTGGGAGAGTGGAAGAGGAAATTACAATCACTCCCTGAACAATGCAAGCAAGTGTCGGGCTGTAGTAAGTGAAAGCCTTCATGGATATTGTTATTATCAGGTTTTTTCTGCAGATAAGTCACAGATCGATTTCATCATCGCTTCTTCTGCACGACGATGAACCGCTGTGGATATTTGTGTTAAACAAACTGTAGAGCTCTCACCTGATCACTACGTTTTCCATATCCGCTGTACCAGGTGGAATACCATGGGAAGACATGCCAGGATAAACAGTAGATCAGTTTGATAGCATTATCATGTGTTTGCAAGAAAACAATTAGCTGAAAGACGGAAAAAGATTTAAACAAATCGTCTTAATGGCGGCAAATTTTGAAACTGACTGCGCGGATTTTAAAGCTGCACTGCGGCTAATGTGCTTTGGGCTGATACCACTAAACTACAGGCGAATTTTTTTGGCACATGAAAAAAAGGCGTTTAAAAGTTGTTCTTCACGCAAGCACAATAGGACTCAACAGTTTGACGAATACGTGCGAAATAAGCTAACAACACAGCGACTAAAGCAAAAGATCACCCATGAACAAAGTCCGATCAGAGGTACAGGGCTCAAACAGTGTTCTGGCTAACCATGTACCGCTTCCCGATCTGTAGGAACGATGTTCTGATGGACTGAAAGTCAGCGATACGTCTTTTCACGAGCTTCACATTCTACTGCGATGACAGCAACACCGAGCTTGCAGAGCTTCTCATCCCGGTGCAATTGCAGGATACCTTATATGAAATTCATGCATCGAATGGCAGAGATTAATGTAGCTGAAATCGTGGAGGTGGTGATGTCAAAAACTGATCATGTAACTGGAGTTGGGGAAATCTGATGTGTAAAAAGTTAGGTGATGAATATATGTTCCGGTTAACATCTGCCTGTCAAACTGCAGTCACTGCGACTAAAACAGTTGTTAGCTAGCGAGTATGGAGCATAGTTTCTCTGTTCTAAATGAGAGATTTCAAAGAATGTACGATTTACCAGGGTATTGCACTCTGAATCTCCTTAGATAGTTTATGAAGTTGCAAAGGATATCCCATCATACAATCAACTTTAGAATCCAAGAAGCGCAATTTGCCTCTTTCCCTGCTGAAGTGCCACTGATTACCTTCGTTAGACGGTTAGTTTGTGTGCAAAATTGGAAAATTGGTAAGTGATTACTTCTGCGGATATTATGGACAAACTAGCAAGTAATACCGCGCGACAGTTTAAAAAGATCCCAGTGAAGTCGTTGACGTGGAAACTGTTTAAAAGTGGATTGAGCGGATACAATGCTGCGGAATGATGTTTAAAACGCGTGGAACTGTACCTGATATGCAGAAATGCACTTTTTGGTGGACACCAGGTTCAACCGGCTCTCGACTCGTAGAAGGCTGCATTTAGGAGACTTAGAGACAGCGAGCCTTCTACTAATATGCGGTACTTTTAAGTGCCTGAGGCAACAGTTAAAGCAAAATCTGATTGATGTTAAAATTTCAATGATTCTGTGGACGTATTGTGTGCGTCGTTACCTTACTAGAGCTTTCATTGGCCCCCATTTATCGTACCGGCGTATTAAGATTTTTTAAGCGTGGTTTCTTTGTCTGTTTGTTAATATATTGCTTCCATCAGGAATGCCTGTCAAGGCTTTTGTAGGCATAACTTCGACTTGTTATTCTTCTGTGATAGCAGAGTTGACTAAAATTTGCAATTGATACGAGAAAGTCTTATAAATCTCACTTACCGTTGCATCATCAATCCAGTGCTTTGTTTATTGCCGATTCATAGAATGAAGTTTGTGAGCGACCAACGTTCGTTACAACACCTACGTATTTTCTTCAGTAAAGTCGTATCGCGCCTTCTGTTTGAGCTCGATACGACCGATTGATCTGACACAGCATGACAGTATTCATATGAACGCCGTTACCTCCTACATCGGCTTTGTCGTAGAGCTCTGCTGTCCACGTGAAAAAATTTCCTTTCCAGCTGATTCATCAGAGCCTTTAAAATGGCTGTGAAGAAGAAAGGTAAAATCATCTAGAAAACGACAAAGTGGCATGCAAAAGACGTATTACAGCCATTCGAACAGAGATCCATTCTCTAAATGTGTCGTTTTGATAAATGGAGGTCGATGTATCCTCTTGAACTGTCGGTAGCGCTAAAGGCACTCATTGAATGCAAGAATCTATCGCCTGCTCTGGATACTATTACGCTAAACTAGTACGTCCTCCTTCCTCTGATTCGAGAACCAACAAATTTCTTCTTCATTTAACTGGAATTGGAACATATCCGTGGAACACAGCAGGATTTCCCTGCTTTTACTGTAGAAAATACGTGATGCTGTCTGCTTTACCTTTCAGCTGCCCGGGGCAATACAGAATACCTCCCGCGTTGCTGAGGCACTGTGCCATTCATTTGGGTTCTTTGCTTTCAGAAATTCTTAGCTGCTGCTTGCATGGGCCGGC